CATATACGTTTCATAATAAAATAGTTGATGCGGTAATGAGAACTCTTAGAGATGCGTTAGGGGTTAACGGTCAGATATACTGGGATGGAAATCATGACTCCATCATACAACAGTTAGTATATTATTACAATAATACATGGCATAGAACAATAAACATGAAACCGCTGGAAATGAAAAATGATATTTCAAAAGAATGGGAATATATTAGAAAGCAAATGGAAAGGTTAAATGATGTTAAACGTGAACAAATTAATTCAGGGCTCATGAATTTTAAACAAGGGGATAAAGTTTTGATTCATCTCGATTATGGAAAAACTGATAAATCAATGACAAAAAGAAGACGAAGATTTGACACAATAGCTGAATTTGTTAGATATATTAACGGCAATGCATTAGTAGAGGTTAACAATAAATTAATAGAAATTCCGATTTATTTTATTACTCCATTATATTTAAATAATATTTAATTATTTTATTTCGTAAGAAATGAGTGACAACGAAGCAGCCAAGAGTCTAGATGATGAATATAAAAAGAAACTAAACAAAATTAAATCAAAAATATGCTATTATAAAAAGAAGCCGCAATGTGGTGGGGTTGAAAATGATAAAGAAATAATCGAAAAATTAGAAACTTATCGTTCAATCCTTAAACTGGGTGAAGCAAAAATAAAAGAATTTAATAGAATAAATAAATTGATTGGAAGAGATGAATTTAATAAAGATGAATTTTTAAACTCAATCCAAATTTAATGTTTTCAGGTTATTCAATAATTAATTATTTTTGAATAACTGATGAGGTCACTCGGTCACTCGGTCACTCGGTTATTTAACTTTTCTGAAAAAATGAGACAACATGACATTTTGACAACAGTCATGAAAGGAGGAAGGCACATATTATTTATTTTTGAATAACTGATGAGGTCACTCGGTCACTCGGTCACTCGGTTATTTAACTTTTCTGAAAAAATGAGACAACATGACATTTTGACAACAGTCATGAAAGGAGGAAGGCACATATTATTTATTTTTGAATAACTGATGAGGTCACTCGGTCACTCGGTCACTCGGTTATTTAACTTTTCTGAAAAAATGAGACAACATGACATTTTGACAACAGTCATGAAAGGAGGAAGGCACATATTATTTATTTTTGAATAACTGATGAGGTCACTCGGTCACTCGGTCACTCGGTTATTTAACTTTTCTGAAAAAATGAGACAACATGACATTTTGACAACAGTCATGAAAGGAGGAAGGCACATATTATTTATTTTTGAATAACTGATGAGGTCACTCGGTCACTCGGTCACTCGGTTATTTAACTTTTCTGAAAAAATGAGACAACATGACATTTTGACAACAGTCATGAAAGGAGGAAGGCACATATTATTTATTTTTGAATAACTGATGAGGTCACTCGGTCACTCGGTCACTCGGTTATTTAACTTTTCTGAAAAAATGAGACAACATGACATTTTGACAACAGTCATGGAAATATGATGTAGTCCAAAAATAAGGTTAGTTTTAAAATTATTTTTATTTTTTTATTCCTATATAAATGACGGCAACAAACAACAACAGCAACTATATCGTTTCTGATGAAATAGTTATTGATCCATTAGTTGAGGAATTAGTTGAGGAATTAGTTATGGCAGAAACTAAAACCCTCAGCGAAAGAATTGGTAAAAACATGATTGATTTACATAACTACCTCAAACATGATGGAGGAAGAGGAAGGAAAACAGGTATGGCTTTATTAGTAAATAAAATTCCAAATTTAACGATTATAGATGTTGATATCAATAAATCGTACAATGATGAACTTAAAGAAACGGTTAGAAAAGACATTTTATCAAAACTTTCGGATAAAGATGTTATCGTTAAAACCGCTTCGGGAGGTCTTCACATTTATTGCAACACTAATTTCTTCTATGCAGTTTCGAACAGAATGATTAAATGTTATTCCTGCAATGATTATGATATTGATATCATGACTTCTGTTGATGATTCAAAGCGTTCTTTAGTGGTTATGGCTGATTCAAGAGTTCGCAAGAATGCAACAGAACCAATCAATACATACTCATTCATTCGTGGAAGTTATGATTCAACATTAACCAGAACAGTGAATGATATATTAAATGATTTGAATATTAAGGTAAGAGTTGAACAAAAGAATGAAGAAATAAAGAGTATAATGAATGAAAACAAAGATGTAAACATTGACGATAAACTAGCTCAAAGCATAGTTGATGGCATGTGTGATTTTGAAGTACATAATGACGGTGGAAACATGAATTTAGAAAAAGAAGTTACATTATTCACACTGTTTCAAGCAATTAATTCGTTACCTAATCATTTAATTAATGAAGCATACGATAACGTTTATAACTTCTGCAGTTTAACAGAAAATGCAAAAAGTAATTTTGAAAAAGCACGTGATAGATATGCATATTTAATGACTTCTCCATTTGTTTTGGTGAAGATTCTAAAACTATATCAAAAGGAATATTATGATGAATATGTTTTGCCTTTATTACGTAAGCCAAAAATAACATTTGATATCAAACTTGATGACTCGTTTTTGATAACAGATATTAGACGCAAGGCTGAAAATCATCAATATAAAACAGTTCTGAAGTAATTGAGGATTTATCACGTGTAATCCGTTTTGTAGATTGTGGAAACAAATATTTCATTCAAAAGGACTATAATATCCACGACATAATGAATCAAATATCATTCGTTCTTCAATCAAACATGAAAGAGTCACTTAAAATGATTAAATTATTTAATGAAGAAGGTAAAACAATAACAGCATGGGATGTACTACTAAATCAATTGTCTTCATTAACCGTTAAGGGTGTTTGCTTTAAATCTAATTCTCCTGATGTTTTCTCAACGTTTCAAGGTTATAAATACAACATTCTCGAAAAACTAGATTACTCAAAAATTGAGATGTTTATGGATTTCATTCATGAAGTCATTTGTGATAATAACGATGAAGTGTATAAATACCTTCTCGGCTGGATTGCATCAATGATTCAACATCCTGGAATCAAGAATGAAACAGCAATTATTTTGAAAGGACTTCAGGGAACAGGTAAAAACAGATTCACTGACATTATTTCTGAACTTCTCGCTGGTTATTCATGCAAAAACATTACTGAAATAGGTGAGCTAACGGGTAATTTCAATTCAGTAGTTGAGAATAAAATGTTTCTTGTACTTAATGAACTCAAGAATGTAGGTGAAGATAGACTCGCAAACTTCAACGCTTTGAAATCAATTATAACGGATAATGAGATTAGAATTAATGAAAAGAATCAACCCAGAAGAACTGCTCAGAATGTTGCAAACTTCATTTTCGTAACTAATAACGTTTACCCTGTTAAAATTGAAGTTGGAGACAGAAGATATGTAGTTTTAAGAGTTAATGGTAAATTTAAGGGTCAATTTGATTACTTCAAGAATTTGATGAATTCATGCACAAAGGAATTTTATGATAATTTACTGACGTATTTTATACAATATGACCTTTCATCATTTAATGTACGAATCATACCGATGACTGAAGCCAAACAAGATTTAATTGAATTATCAACAAATCCTTTAGATGTATGGATAAATACACATTATGATGAATTGTGTGTAGGTATGACATGTAAAAATGCTTTATTCTGCAAACCATCAGACATGAAAGACAAGAATTTTCAAATGAGCATTAAAGATAAATGTGATAAGAAACAAAGGAAAATAGATGGTAAACAGACATGGTATTATGTTTTGAAAGAAGAAATGAAAGGATTATATAAACAGGTTGAACCAAACGATAATGAGGATTCATTTACTGACGATGAAATACCTGTAAATGAAGCTTTATAAAGTGTGATTTGAATTTATTTTTGCATTAATCCCACTATGTTGTCAAAATGTCATGTTGTCTCATTTTTTCAGAAAAGTTAAATAACCGAGTGACCGAGTGACCGAGTGACCTCATCAGTTATTCAAAAATAATTAATTATTGAATAACCTAAAACCATTAACGATAACATAACAATAACATCATATTTCCATGACTGTTGTCAAAATGTCATGTTGTCTCATTTTTTCAGAAAAGTTAAATAACCGAGTGACCGAGTGACCTCATCAGTTATTTTATCATCATTTTATTAACTTCATCTTTAGTTAATAATTTGAATGGATTCACTAATGTTCCACCTTGAGTCCCAACACTTACCCTGGCTAATTGTGAAGAACCTGGGATAATTACTCCACGAAATGATTTCATTGGTAACATTAATTTAGAAATAGTTGGCTTAATTAATTTTGTCATTTATGATAAAAATAAAATTACATAATTTAAATTTTTTTCTTTCTCATTTTCTCATCCTGTTTTGGTTTCAATAACTTTTCAAGTTGTTGTCTTGTCAGTAACTTTAATTTTAACTTTGGATCAAATATTGGGTTTCCATCTTTATCTCTTCCAATAACACCATATGGTAGAATCTTCATTTATACTAAAATAAAAATTTAAATTATGCCGTTCACTCTTTTGGAGCTCCTAAAGTTTGTTTCACAAACATTGAGCATTCATTGAACTCTATACCATGCGTAAACTGTCATAAATGGTGGCATGTATTCTTTACTTTGTCCCGTTGTTTGTGTATATCCTGAAACGAAATGTGTATGGTTTCCTTCTCCCTGAGTGTCACTCCAGTAACAATTTATAGCAAACTTAACGTCATCTTTAACATCATATCCTTTACCTTTTGTCATTCCTGACCAATCCCAATATCTATGCTTATGCCAACCCGCTTGAGATGTGCTTAAATCTATGTAGTGACTGTGTGCAGGTAAATTTTCACCTGTAATCGTTTTACTTCCCCCTGTTTCCTTTGATGAGTTTGCACAATACAAAAACCTGTCGACTATTTGTTCCCATGCACCAACACCAAACATTGCTTGAGGACCTCTTGCATCCGTAGATGTATAAATAGAACCTACTGGGTTCATTAAATCAAACATATGAGATATTATAGGATTGTCTCTTTTGAACTTAAAATATAGTGCAACTATTTCAGGTTTCTTTTGGTTTGTGTCAGAATATTTTTTATAATATAATCTTATGTTTTCGGGGTAGGTAAAATCTTGACTATAATATTTATTTCTGTCATCTGTATAATAATATACTATTCTCGTTTTTTCTATTGCATTATATCTTTTATATCTATAATAATCTAAATATAATGTTAACTTTTGTTCATCTACATGTGGTGTTCTGACATCATCTCCATAGTCATAATAATATGGTGCTGGAGCTAGGTTAGACAATGTCATATCTGTCATTTCATAAACTCTTAAATATTTCTTTTGCTCGTCTCCATATAAGTTTAAGTAACAGTTGTTGTCTAATGGAACTTTAACTTGTGTGCCATTATTCTTTTTATAACTTACATACATTTCATTGTTATTTTTCGGAATGAGTTTACACCGTGTACCATTTTTTAAGGACTGTACAAATTGCCATCTAAAATATTTATTTTCTTCATTGACAGAAAAGTCACCAACAATAGTTTCAATATTTTTTGTTGTTCCTATCAAACTTTGGTATATTTCGTTAACATATTCCTTATCCGCTTTCTTCTCTAACTCATCGTTAACATAAGTTTTATCTGCTTTAAGGTCTAAACATCCTGAAACCCATCCTGTATCAGCTTTAGTTTTAAAAATCTTCGATGTCCATTCATGATACCATTCAACCCTTTCTTTAATTTCATTATCTTTTTCATCAACATAAACCAAATTTGCCTTCTTATTTAACTCACTAGCCACATATTCCTTATCCGCTTTCTTCTCTAACTCATCGTTAACATAAGTTTTATCTGCTTTAAGGTCTAAACATCCTGAAACCCATCCTGTATCAGCTTTAGTTTTAAAAATCTTCGATGTCCATTCATGATACCATTCAACCCTTTCTTTAATTTCATTATCTTTTTCATCAACATAAACCAAATTTGCCTTCTTATTTAACTCACTAGCCACATATTCCTTATCCGCTTTCTTCATTATGTCATTTAGGAAACCTTTTATGAATTCCTCATTTAAATTAAATCTTCCAATCTTCAAAACTTTGGGAAATGCATTTAATGCGTAATATCTTTGTTCTTCTGGTGGAATTGATGTTATATCATCCGTTATACCTTTAATTTTAGAATTCATAAATAAAATTTCTTTTATATTTGATATCACTGCACCACCTTTGCAAACGAATTCGAAACACCCATTTTTCAATACTATCTCCAAATCTCCATATTTCAACCTTTGCGTTTGTTCTGCCGTCTTTGAATTATATGCATATGTGGCGTATGTAATGGCTTGTGCCTTAAGTTGCTGTGGTTGTTGTTGTTTAATCATTTATTATGATTTAAAAATAAATATTTAATCCGTTATCTCATCAGCTATTTTTTCTATTTGAAATTGCCATAATATTTCATTCATAAATTCTAAATCACAATCAAATAGGTCAGTTATTCTAAATTTAATATTTGATAAATCTTTTGAATGAAGAATAAATGAATTCCCGGATAATTGAAACGGATATGATAAAGAAAATGTGTTTAAGTTGATGGATAAAATGTTTTGTATTGATGGGTAAGAGTTAGGGTCTAATGTTTGATGTGAAAATCTCATTGGGGTATTAACTTTATCACATTTGATTAAAATGAAATTGGAACCAGTGTCAGAATACAAAACATCCCCAACATCTTTTTCAAAATTTAATATCCCCAACAATGAACGAAGGTGAGGAGTACAAAATTTAATTTTCAGCGGAAATTTAATAAGGTTATTTATTTCATCAAGTTCAAAAAGTTTATCAGGTTTTGATTTAAAATTTTCTTCATACCATACGATAAATGATTCATTTAAATAACTTAAAATCGTGTTAATATCCCATTTCACTATCACATTATTTATATACATATCATACGTTTTTTCATGGTCATCTTTAATAAATGATATATAATCTGAAGGGTCTAAAAGAATGGGATTAAATTTACCACTCACAGAAACGAGAGTAACATTATAAATTCCGCTAACTGTTAAATTTAATTCACAACTATTATTCGAAATAATATTGATAATTGACATTTTTTATTACGATTAAAAATATGGTAAAGCGTTATTTTCCAGTGATAAATAAAACTAAAATAAGATTACCTCAAGAATTCATAAATTCAACGAATAAAAAATTCATTCATGTTATAAATTTTAGTGTTTTCAGAAAATATGAGTCGATGTCATATTCATCATCGGGTTATATTTCACTTCATTCAAATTTAGTTCAATCAAACCCATATAATGACCATTTCATAAGATTTTCAGATGGTATTAAAAATGCAATTGATAGATTAAAATATGAACAGATTGACAATATCGAATTTTTGGAATTTTGGTTTAAATATCCTGATGGAAAAAAGATTGAAGTTAAAGATAAAGCTGATACTATAACAAAAACAATTACAATGACCGATCCGGATAGTGGGGAACAAAAAGAAATAAAACAAACGATAGAAACTGGTGAAAGGTCAATTATTATTGATTATGATTCAAAGGATTATTATTCGATAATGTTAATGCTTGAATATTAAATAGCCTTAACAAAGAATTTTTCAAGTGATATTTTATATTCATCAACTATTTTATTATAAATATCATTATATGTTAAATGAAGTTCTGTTGTTGTTCCGTTCTTTGATATCTTAATTGTGCTAATATCCTTTATAGGATTTATTTTTGCAACTGTTCCGCAGCATGAAACCTCATCATCTATGAAAAATTGAATCTTAACGTCTGAATCTTGAACATCACAAAGAATGGCGATAATGTGAATTAATGATTCATAAGGTAAAATAATTAAACCGGATTGATCAATTAAATTTATTATTGAATCATAATTATTAATTATTATATCACGGTAAATTTTCATTAATTCAAAATTAATGTCTATTTTATATGGGTTCTCAATGTTTGATGAAAGAGGTGCTGGGTATGTTGGATAAGTGGGAATTTCAACGGGTTCTTTACCAGGTTCAGATAAAATGATTGGGTCTTCATTCTCCTCATTCTTCGGTAAGTCACGAGTTAATAAATTTGGTTGAGTTGCTGACCTTGTTAATTCAGGGCTAACATTAACTTTAACATTTTGAATAATTCGTGATTTATCATCATTTACGTTATAACCAACCGTAATCTCTGCTTTTGCGTTAGTGTTCTTTTGACTAGTAAAACGTCTTCTCATTTATATTCAAATAAAAAAAAATATATTTAAACTTTTATTTTGCTGGAACTTTTGAATCTATTATTCCCTGTATTTGTTCATGAAGTTGATTTTTAGCTGTTTCATCGAAATTAATAGACCGAATATATTCATTAATTGCATTCTTATAATCATCTGATTTCTCAAATTTTCTTTTATCTGATTCCTTAACTAAATCATAAGTTAAACCTCGTTGCTGATATAATGGTTTCTTAATTAAATCTTTGAATGCTTGAGATAAAGCACCTGATGCAATTCTTGCTACTATAATTGGTTGGAATTGTTGTTTAAGTTCATCTTTAACATTTGCGAAAACTGGATCGAATAAAGCAACTTTAAAGAATTTCTTAGCTGAAATTTCAGGTCTAATATTTGCATATTGACCATCAAACTGGTTAGAATATTGTGGTAATCCATCCGGTCCCTCTTCAATAGCATTTAATTCCTCATTGAAATAAGAATATGGATTATGACGGTATGAATTAATTGGCCCATTTTCACCTTCTCCAATGTATTGTTTAACAGCTTTTCCATTTTCATCAAATTGCATAGGATAATGTTCATTATATGCTTTACGTTTAGGATAATCAGATACAGTTAATTTATAACCATTTATGACTTTAATATTACCTGCCATCAGTAACGAAAACTTCATTTATACCATCAGGTTTTCCATTTGGACCCGTAATGTCTGTTTCGTGTGCTTCCCAATTTGGACCATGACGTTTGGCATATGCTTGAACTTCTGGTAATGTTAAAACGTTTCTCATTTGTTTAACATCTTTTTGAAGACCAGCAACAATATGAACTAATTCTTTCATTCCATCGGGAACTTTCATAGTTCTATTATATGCACCCCTTTTGTTTGTCCCTTGTTTTAATGGAACTTGTAAAAGATTTGCTATTTCTGTCATGTTTAATTATAAATAAAAAATAAAAATTAATTATAAAAAGTTAATCAAATTTAACACCCCCTTTATTTAAATCAACTATTATTTTTCCATGTTCACCTAATTGCTGATATTGTGTGTAAAGTTCATTAATGCTCATTGGTAAATTCACTTGATAAAGCATAACATTCAACTGTTGACGACTAAACCCACTGAAAATGAAAAGTGTTGATAGATTTGATTTAATGTTTGTGCTTAATGCTTTGAAATATTGAACAGCCATAAAAAATGAACACTGAATGTGTCGACATTGAGTTAATAACTGATTAAAATATGATTTCTCATTTGTTATTAGTTTTGATTTCACTGCATCATCTAGAAAAATGAGTGAATGCAAAAATTCTTTATCAAAATTTGAAATGGAAAGTGTTTCAAATAATTCATCCCGTTGTTTATCAATAATTTTATCCTCTAATCCTTGCTTCTTGATTGTATTATATAATTCTTTATACATTAAAAAGTTTTTTAAATAATCTTCTGCTTCTTCTTGTGATAAATAAATAATTGGAATTTTGATTAAATGCTTTAAAGATTCAAATGTATCATCTGAAGGTGAACCTGAACGGTTGATATAAATTAACACATGTGAATGGGGGAAGTGTTAGCAATAATGATAATTTGTTTTAATATCGTTAATGTTTTACCTTTATTTTGTTTACCAATTGCTGCAGTGATTGAATTTAAGTAACATTCAGAATATGGAATTTTCATTAATTTTTCCTTAGATAAGCATTTCTATTATCACTCAATGCTCATTAATCATATCATCTACGTATGTATTATATACTCCTGCTAATTCTTCATAAGGAGTGGATGAATTTAAATCCATTTAATCAAAATAAATTATTTATAATTTTTAACATTTCTATTCATCAATATTTCATCATATGAACTTCTATACTGTGGTGGTGTACCTGTTGGATGATATTTCAAACCTTCATCCGGTGTCCATGTCCAATATGTAGTCCTAGTAAACCAAACCTGAGGAGGATTTGTCACCTTTGAACAGTAAGTGTCATTTTCACCCTGAATGATTGGATAAGCTTTCACTTGTACTGTAACTTGTGAGTTGAAAGTTTCTAATCCATCAAAGAATATACCCGCTCCATCACGTTGAACTGGAATAGTGCATAAGAATGAAGTTTGGTCTTTCCATGTTCTAGCTAATGGCGTGCCATCATCATCATTCAGTGGTCTAGTTAATGAGTCCTCGTATTCTTCCGTGCATTCATTCACTCCATCTAAATCAGAAGCTTGAAGCATACGTGTAAAGAATATGTCACCCACTGTGGTCATCGCTTGATCGGGGAAGTTTCTGGAATCTATAGTGACCTGAAGACCTCGAAGCATTGGATTTTCTAAAACTGTTCTTTGCATTGCATTTTCGGAAATGTTAACACAACATCTGTAACATTATGAAGAGCGTATGAGAAATCTGAGCTAATACCTTCAGGAGTGATGCAACCTCCATTTAGTGAACGAACGTCAATATGTTGAGCTGGAATCATGAATGGATCTTCCTTACTGAATAAACGTGGTATTGCTTTAACTGATTCTTCAATTAAACCGTATCCTGGTGTAATACATTTATCCTCTAAAACTTCCATCTTTGTGCATGAAATAATAACGTCATCAACTGTTGCGTCAGCAGATGTAGCGGCTAAGCTTGTAATTAATTTGGCAGGAAGTCCGATTTGTTGGAATTTGCGATCATATTTATAAACATGATTCATAATCTTTTCATAATTTTCATCAGTTATCTTTTCATAAACGTAATTTTGTAAATCAGCAACTCTTAA